ATGCGTGAGAGGTGGTTGGGATGAGAGTCCCCTGAATACGGGAACCTCGTTTCTAGCCAACACGGTGAGAAGAAGGCGGCCCTCTCTGTGCTTTGGAAACATTCCTAAGAGTTCATCATACAGCCACAGGCTGCATGCGCGGCCTTGTCATCCCCACATACTCTGCCTGAGGTGAAGGGCCCAGGCAGGTGGCATCCCGCAGAGAGGAGCTGTAGATTCTGCCCTCCTCTCCTCTGTCTCTCCTGAATCCCCTCCTGAAAGACTCCTGTTCTATCACCCAGCAGCTTCACAGAATCCAGAAAGAATCCCTGAAACAGGAAAGCACAACAGTAATGATCTCACGCTGAGTGTCCGGCACCACAGTGAACGCTGACCATGGTACTCCACTGAAGTCTCACCATGACCCGTGAGGTTGGTATTCTAATCCTCATCCTCGCCCTAAGGAAACTAAGGCTCAAAGGAGTCAGGTAACACTCCTGAGTTAAGTGCTTCCATCTGACCTCAAGGCCTATGTTCTTAACCTCTGAGCTTCCTGAAACGGGGCTTTTGGGCCAGTGGGCAGTGTGGCTCCTCCCAGCCTGAATCCATCCTGCGCACCTGTGAGGTCACAGGTGCTGAGCACCACAGTATCTCTGGGATGCTAAAGGGAGCCCCAAGTACCCCGATCACCTGCAAATCTGCTCTGTCCCTTGGTCACTTCACTTCCAGTGGCTCTTGGAGAGACTCGGCATTGATCCCATCTCAGGACCTGTGGCCGCCCCCCCCCCCCCCCCCCCCCCCCCGCCGCCCTCTTCCCTGGGGCTCAAAAAGCAGAGCGACCACAAGCCACCAAAGTTCCTTCTTAGCTCTCCCTGGCCCGTGCCTTCCTGGCTGCTTGAGGACAAATTTGGCCTGGACCTTCACCGGCAACAGCAGCCTTGGCCACGCAAGATGGACCGGGGCCGCTCTTGACAGTTCTGCTTTCCTGCTTTCGGGCTTGGGGTTGGTGGACAGAACCAGCCTTTCTCTGGGTGTGGCCATGCCTTCCCAAACTCTCCCTGATGGGTTCGTTCTTTCACAGCATGGAGGATTTGGCAGGGAAGGGCCGGTGAAGCCGGGGCTGGTTTCCCAGGAACCCCAGGTCCTGCCCAGCTTCCCAGCTGGGGTACACTGAACAACAGCAAGGCTTAAGAGAGTTGCCAAGATCCACAGGGCTGGGCTGTGCTCCCCGGCTGCAGGGACATTAGGAGGAGCAGGCCAAGGGCATAGAATCAGTCATGGACCAGGAAGCCAAGGAAAGTGGCTGAAACTCAGCTGACAGCTCCACTCGGCCCCTACCCTCAGCACACATCCCAGGGCCTCGGTTTTCTCCTCCCTCAGGGTGATCGCTGGTAACCTTTGACCCCAGCATTCTAGGAGACTGAGACAAGAAGATCACAAGTTCAAGGCCAGCCTCTGCAATTTAGTGACTTAGCAAGCCCCTGTCTCAAAATACAAAAAAGGGCCGAGGTGTCGCTCACTACCAAGGCCCTGGGTTCAATCCATATACTGCAAAAAAAAAAAAAGAAAGAAAGAAAGAAAAGAAAAAAGCTTCCCTCCCTTCTTGAGATCAGAGTCCTTTGTTGACTAACACTTGAGCTCAAAAACTTTAAGGTGACCTAGAGCAACCCCAGAGGCCTTGACCTCCGGGAGCCATGTCCTCCTGGCCTTTGCCAGCAGCCTCCCAGAGAAGGGTGCAGGTGCAGCCTTGTCATACCCACTGCCCTGTGCCACTCAAATCTTCCCACCACGGAGGCCCAACGGGTCCTGCTGGTGCCCTGAAACCAAAACAAAGCTCTGTCTCCCCGGCCACCTCTTCCTCAGTGGCCCCAACTGGGCACTCAAGCAGGAACCATGGTCTGGTGCCCCAGCTCCAGACGGCCTGACCTCCAGCCTGGGCCAGACACCAAACCCCAGGATGGCATCCCAGCTGCAAAACAATGCAGCCTGTGGCTGCGGAACATGGCCTGCGCCCTGGTCTGCTGGTAGCGAGACTTCAAACTGGCCATCCTGGGAGTGACGACCTTACATGGGGCAGGGAAAGAGTCCTGCATGTTGGGGAAGGGTGGGGAGGTAAAGGCTGAGGGGAGGTGATCTCTGCTCTGGGTCCCCTTTTCAAGGGGAGCAGTCTGGTGTGCAGATAAACAGTCGCCCTTTGGTGGCTCTTGGGATCCTGGGGTTCAGTAACAGCTTAATCAGGGGCACTTCCGGGGCACCCCTTCCCCTCCCCCTCCACCCCCTGGAGAAGCAGCTGTTGCCTCTGCCCCTGGGCCTTCTCTGGCTGCCACTGCCAGGTCATTTTGAGCCCCTAAGCCGCAGTGACTCACCTAGTTTCACAACCCAACTCCAGGGCTGGTGCATCTGTCTGCTGCTACTTGGGACCTCTCTCCCTACCCTGCCCTTTCCCTAGGACCCTGGCCCAACCACAAAGGAAACCATGTCCTCAAAGTCCTAGGCTGGCACAGCAAGGCCTTCTGGAGCTCAGTAGCAAGAGATGAGGCTTAGAGCTTGCAGGAGAAGGAGCGCTTCCAGCCCCTGGGCCTGGCCTGCGGAGGATTCTCCCTGGGTCCGCCACCGCCTCCTGTGGCCCGGGCAAGCACATGGGGAGCAGGCTGCGGCCTGCAGCAGGTTCTCTGGATCCTTGGTTCCCATGGCTGCAGATGAGGAAGCGTCATGCGCACTGCACCGCACCAAGCCATCAATGACACGGAGTGTGCGGGTTCGTTCTCAGGGAGAGAAGCGAGCGGTGGTGCAGACAGTGCGGGGATAGAGAGGTCCGAGAAGATCCCGGCCCTCACCAAAGCCCTGGACACAGCTGCCTGGCTAGGATCTCAGGGGAGACCCCAGACTCGTCCTCCCAGGCGAGAGTCAGGGCTGCCGTTCAGGGTCTGTGCGTGGGTCTGCAACATCAGGTCATGAGAGCCACCGACTTACACCAGGCTCCGCCTTGCAGTCTAAAAACTCAAGGCCAGGAGAGGGCCAGGGCCTTGCCCACAGTTAGCTGGCCACTGGGGACGGAGTAGGGCCCGAGCCTCTTCTCGTCATGATGTTCCCTCTGGTGGCTTTCGGAGAGGGGCCTTCGCCCCGGGGCACACTAGAATCATCTGGGAACTTACAAAATATACAACCACAGGCTTCAGCCTGGAGTGAAAAGCTTGAGATCAGCATGTTTGGAAGTTCCTTGAGTGAATCTGATGTGTGACCACCACGGAGAGAACCCCTGCTGTAAAGGCAGATCTCCTTCAGACGGGGAGTGAGAAAGCAGGCCTGGTGGCCCACATCTGTAATCTCAGCTGTCATGGGAGGCTGAGGCAGGAGATTCGCTGTAAATTCGAGCCTGGGCTGCATTGTGAGTTCAAGGCCACCCCAAATCATGTAGTAAGACCCTGTCTCCAAATAAACAATAATGATGATGATGATGATGATGATGATGATGATGATGATGATGATGATCAAGAGAGAAAATACTGCAGAGGACAAAGGAGGAAAACTTTTTCCATAGGAGGAATCTTCAGGTCCATGAAAATAAATTCGTCAAAAGCGGCCTATATATCCATCAACAAATGAATGGATAAAGAAAACCTGGTATTTACACACAATGGAGCACTACTCTGCCACAAAGAAACTTGAGTCATTTGTAGGAAAATGGCTGCACCTTGAGACCATAATGTTAAGTGAAATAAATCAAACACACGAGCTTAAGTATCTCATGGTTTCTCTTATATGAGAAACTCAAAGAATAAATAAAGACCAAAATAAAAGGCAGACAATAGAAATTTAAAAAGGGAGATAGGGCCGGGGATTTAGCTCAGTGCTTCCACCACTTGCCCTGCAAGCTCAAGGACCCGAGTTCAATCCCCGGTACCAAAAATAAATAATTAATTAATTTAAAAGGGAGATAGCTTGTTTGTTTGTTTGTTTTAAAGGGAATAGGACCAAGAGATGGGGGGAAGAAGAGGAAAAGGAGCTATGTCAAGCCCAGCAGTGACAAAGGAGTCAAGCGTGGACAGATCACATTCTGGTGCATCTTGGCCTTCCCCCCTTACAGAGCTGTCCTTAAAGCAGTGCTCGTCTGTCCTGGTCATGCCCAGGCCAGTGGGTGGGACCCAGGCATCAAGCCCCCTAAGGGTTCTAAAGGGCAACCCAGCTGAGAACTGCGCCCTGCTGGGTGTGTACAGCTGCCCCACAAATAGCACAGTATGAAAATGTCATTTCCTCCCCAAGAGACCAGTTTGAATGTGTCTCACCCCACCCCACCCACCTCTCCTCCCACAGGAGCCAGCGGGCCAGGGCCTGCCACACAGGGGTGGGGCTGTCCCCAGGCTGTGGTTCCCACCAGGGCAGACAGGCAGGACTTCACCCAGGAGGCTGGAAGGGGCGGGTGGATGGTATGGGGAGGGATGGGCCGGGAGGGCCCAGAGACGGGGCTTCCCGCAGGAGGAGGCCAGGGTGCTGGCAATGGGGTGCAGCATGAATTCTGACAACACCCTGAAACTATTCCCTGTGGCTCTCCAGGTGCCCGGGAGGGTGTGGAAAGAGAGTGTGACAGGCCCTGAGTCTGTCCCCCTCCCCAGCTCAGCGTCACAAAGGGGAGGGAGGGAAGCAGACCCTGCAGATGGAAGAGGATCTGGGCAGGGGGAGATGGGAAAGGGTGAGTAAAAAGGTCAAGATGCGATGTGTGCAGGCGCCAGCTCCCCATGAAGAACGCCATTAGTATGCATTGCAAATATGGGTGTTTATTTATTTATTTATTTTTTGGTACCAGGGATCGAACTCAGGACCTTGTGCTTGCAAGACAGGCATGGTGCCACTGAGCTAAATCCCCAGCGTGCAAATACATACTAATAAAAAAAAGAAACTAATAAAAAGAAAGAGAAAGATGAGAGAGCTCATGGAAGGGTGAGCTAGTTCCAGGGGTGCACTCGGGCTTGAGGTTCTAGAGCTTGTATGTAGTGTGATCAAAAAATACAAAGCATGCGAAAAATATTTTTAAATTTATTGCCGTAAATGACATTGCGCCATGAATCCCCCCTTAAAATCCTCCCTCTTGTTGGAACACACTTATCCCAACCTTCCCACTTTCTGAAGCAGTTCTGAAAGTCCTCTCTCCTGGGTGTCTCTAGCTGCACTGTCCAGGCTGCCTCGGTGTCCGGAATTGATGCACATCATCCTTTTGTGGTCATTTTGACTAGGGGCAAAAAAACAGAAGTCACACAGTGCCGACCCGGTGAGTAAAGTGGAGGGCACACTGTCGTGTTTTTCCCAGCCTGCCTTTCTGCTAGATGGCACTCAGCAGCAGTCACTGTGGTTCTGATCACACAAAAGAGGGTAAAGACCCTCATGAAGGAGGACTTGCAGAACCGCTTCAGAAAGCGTCGAGGACGATGGGATGAGTGTGTGCTGAGTGAGAGGGAGGGTTTTAAGGGACATTCATGGCACTGTCTTTTCCCGTGATAAATGTTTAAACTGTAAACACTCAAGGTAGGGTTTGATCACCCCTTGCATAAAGGGAATCCATGCATCAACACGGAACCTCGTCCAGCCAGCTCTGTTCTCTTTCCCACTAGTCCCTTGCGAGGGGAAAGCCTTTCGTGTCTGAGTCACAGTTTCCTCATCTGGAAAGTGGACATGCTAATTCTTGTTCTGCCTGACTGGTTCACTTTTTATGAAACCCAAACAATCTACTGTTTATTAAAAGCAGCCTGCTAGCATTACTGCCAACGCCATGGAGGTGTCCAAGCATCTGCACAATTAGCCGGCGAGATGGCCCGGAGGGCTCAGGTGCCTTCCTGTGCCCTGTTGTGTCCCCTCTCCGCCCCCCACATCCACCCGATCTTCCCTCTTCCTCCGGGCTCGGTCCACATCAGGCCTCCTCCTTCCACCTCCCCTTCCTGGGGTCTCGCCTCTCCCACCTCTTTCTTCTTGGGCGGAGCAGCCCACGAGCTCTGCCTCCTGGAGCTGCCCAACACCGCTGCCTCTCGCCTTCCGAGTTCAGCTTCTTCTGCTGAGCCTCTGTCGGGCACCAAGGGCAAACTTGGGGCACTTTTGTTGGAAGATTAGAAGACAGAGTGAATGAGTGAATAGACTGTGATTCCAAAGAAGTCTGGGCCCACAGCGGCCCTGGAAATGCAGCTTCAGCTTCCTCTTCCTCCTCCTCCTGTTTCCCTTCCTCCCCCCTCCCCCTCCCCTCCCCCTTTCTTCTTCTTCTTCTTCTTCTTCTTCTTCTTCTTCTTCTTCTTCTTCTTCTTCTTCTTCTTCTTCTTCTTCTTCTTCTTC